TAAACCCATACTTGAAAAAATTTTTAGCAAAACTTCTTAATTTATTTATACTATTCAATATAAAAAACTTTTTTCTATACAAATATTCTGACTATTAATACTATTTTATCACTATCAATTGAATATCTACTTCAAATATGTTTACTTTTACAAAACAAACTTCAATAATTATCAAGTTTCTTAACAATATGCACTAAACATATGCTACACCTATCTACTAATACAAACAATAATATACTTATTAATTCACAACTACTCAACATTCCAATACTCAACAAACTTATGCTACAAGTTAGTAGCAGTAATATAGAAAGATGTTTTAATACTAACACACTCCTAAATCAAATCTCTATATATTGGGTCAAGAATTGGCTTTTTAAAATATGAAAACCATCTCTAACTCAGGATACAATTCTAACTAACTATAAGAAATCTACCAACTATACTATAATATCTCAACTTCATCACTTATACAAAAATAATATCTCTATTATTAACACTTTTCTAAATTAATTAACAATCTACAAATACACTAATTAACTGAACAACATTTATAATTCATTGCAACTCCTAACAACTTAACAACTCTAAGTCTTAAAAACAATAGAATTCTTTTCTTAGAACAATTTCTTATAGCTAATAATCACAACTTTCTTTCTTGGAAAAATATATATCTCAGAACTCTCAAACCCCTATAAGATCCTATTTCAAAATGGTTTAAAATACTTTCAAACCAAATATCTAATCAACTTATTTTGCACATATGGCCTAATCTTCAACTTCAACTTATTAACCTATTTCTAAATACATTAAATCTTATTATACCTCAATTTGTTATCTCAAAAAATACATGGTCACTTTATATTTTATCTTCAGATTGACATATTGGTAAAATAACCAATACATCTAGCTCTCAAATATTTTTTCAAAAATATCAAATTATGAATTCAACAACTAATATCATCCACATTTCTTCTATACCAACAATGCTTCAAATAAATTACAAACAAACCATTAATCTTAAATGCAAAACACATAAAAGAAAACAAAACTTTGAACTTAACATAAACAACTAAGAAATTAAAGCACTTCAAAACATTTATGCAAACCTATATAAACTAGCTTCAAAATCTCTACCATCTTTTTTACTACTCTTTTCAGAAATCCTTCTAATACAAAACACAATACCTAACTTTATATATCAAAACCAACTTATAAACTTTTACAAAAAATTACTATTTCTTGAACTAACTAATATATATTTTTATACAAATGCTTCTATATTTAATTCACAAACACACAACACTTCTACTGGCATAGCCTGGATTCTGGAAAACAATACACAAATTAAATTTAATATTTCTATAAACCTTGCACCAAACTCAACATGAGCTGAACTAGCAGCACTTATACTCTTATTTCTTATCTTACCTCCTAACTACTCAATTTATATCTATTTAGACAGCTTATCTACTATACAAACTCTTACTAATTCAATTCTTTATAACTACAATTCTCAAACCAAACAAAATAACTGAGATATTATCCATATTCTAAACTATTTAACCAAACTTAAAAATATAAATTATATTATACACAAAGTTAAATCACATTTAAACAACACTTTATATAATATTGCTGATGTTTTAGCTAAACAAGATGCTAAAAAAACAGAACTAAAATATAACCTCAACCATCTTTACTTACCTACATTCTTTACTTGGAAAGAAATCCTAATTATATACAACTTTGTAAATTCTGAAAAAACCTTTTCTTTATTTAAACATTTAACAAACTTCTTTAACTTAAACTACTATGAAATCTTCCTATTATAAACATCCTACTATTTACTGAAATTATTAACTCCCAAAATTTTAATTTAAAACTTTATTCAATTAAAAACAAATTCTTCTTAATAACTTGCCAACAATGTTAAATTTAAATATTCACTATCTTCTACTTTACTTAACTCCAAACTGCTCCTATTGTAACCAATATGAAAACATTGAACATTTACTTCATTGCTTACTTTATAGTTAAAATTCACAAAACATTCTTATCAATGAAACCATCAATATTTTAAGCTCTTTAAACTTTTTGAAAACATCATCACACACTATAATTCAAATCTTCAACTTACAAAATTACTCTTCAAACTCTATTATATATAATACAATACTTCTACTTATTCAAAGCACAATAACACTCAACCAATATAAACAATTTTAACTAATTCTAAAAAAACTAACTAACAACCTTTTTATCTTCATATCTAACTAAAATATAGAATATCTAGACAGCATTCTGAAATTGTTTTTAATTCAGAATATTATAAGTCTGTTGATTTCTGCAATTTGTTTTTTACTTGATAGAGTTAGATATGCTACATACTATATTTATGAAAGTATAAGTGCTTTGGCTAAAAAAATTTTTTTTCTAAAAGAAAAATTTTAGTTAGATAATTTTTCTAGTGTCTTTTTTATTCTAGTGATTGTTGTTGTCCATAAGTCTTTTTTAAAAATGCCTTTTGTGTTTACTTCATATTTAAGAATTGTTAGTGTTTTCTGTTCAGTAGTTTTAGTAAATTGAGATTCATCTTTAAGTTCAATTCTGCAGACTGTGTTTGTAAGAAACACTAATTTAGTTTTGTTCTTGTTGATTTTTGTATTAAAGACAGCTTCATAGATTTCAAAAGTTGCATAATATTTATTCAGTCTGATGATAAGCTTATTCCTATTATTAAGTCATTTGCATAAGCTAACAGTTTAAAGAACTGGTTTTTTAAAGAAATTTCTCAAATGTTTCTTTCTAATTATATAAGTAGTAGTTCGAATGCAAGTACATATAGTAAGAGAGAGAGAGGATCCTCTTGTTATACTCCTCTTTTTGCTCTAAAAGGTTCAAATAGAACATTGCCTTCTATAATGTGTGCTATTTGGTTTGAAAAGAGATTGGCTACCAAGTTGATTATTTTTTTGTTAAAGTTCATTTTTCTTAGAACCAGATTTAGAAAGTTATGGTTTACTCTGTTGAATGCCTTTTGCTGATCTACTAAAAGCATCTAGTGCTGTTTGAAACTGTTTAATTAGTTTTTTAATGTAGTAATTATATCCAAGGCTGTATCTATTATTGATCTTCTAGAAACAAATCCTTGTTAGTAATTGGAGATAATTTTCTTGCAAATTACATTAAGCCTGTTTGCTATAATTTTCATAAAGATTTTAGTATCAGAATTTACTAATGAGATTGGGTGCCAGTTGTTTAAGTCTTTTAAGTTTTCCAACTTTTTAAGAATTAGTATGATTATGTTTCTGCACTATAAATCAGATAAACAACTAATATCTAGTACTTAATTGAATACCTTTTCAAGAACTGATGCTATTTCTAATAATGTGAGTTTATAGAATTTGTAAATTAGCCCATCAGTGCTAAGTAACTTGTTATTAGAAAGGCCTTGTATTGCTTAGGTTATTTATTCTTGTAAAATTCTTTTTACTAGATTGTCATTTTGATTTTGTAGTACTTAAGGGAAACTTTCAGTAATCTTTTTTGCTATCTTAAGATCTATGTTTTTTTCTTTGTAGATTTTTATGTATTGGTTTTTAATATATATAAGTGTATTTCTATTTTCTAAGTTTAAAGTTTTGAGTATTTTAATTTTAAACTAAGCACTTTGTAACTTTCTTGCTTTGTATCTTAAGAAAAAATATTTTGTTAACTTTTCTTCATTTTCAATTCATTTTGTCTTTGACTGAATTAACCATAACTCAGCCATCTTGATTAGTTTTTCTTGTATTTGAAGGTTTAGTTCTTCTATGTTTTTGTTAAGATGTTTTTTCAAGGAATCTGCTACAAGCTCCTTGCTTAGCTTTGTAATGTTTTTGTTTAGCTTTGCTATTTTGTTTTTAGGAGCTTTGGGTTTTTGAAAGGCTTTGATGATTGATTGTATATAGATTTTATATAAATCTTAGTTTTCTGCTAAGCCAGCATCCTGTATTTTCTCTAGTACCTTTTTTTTTAGTAATTTGTTTTTAAAAGATTCTTTATTGAACTTCCAAACTGAAGGCTGTTTAGACTTTTGTTTGAATTCCAGTATGCATCTTATTAGGAGATGGTCTGAATTACCAAAGTGCATGCTAACTTCTGATATAAGATAATTGTAATTCTCATCTATAAAAATGTAGTCCAAACATGTAGCCATTAAGCAGTTATTTTGTGTTTTTTTAAAAAAAAGTTAGGAAAAGCTTGATGCTTAATACCTTTGCTGTGTTAATAAATTCTTTTATTAGATTAGAGAGCTGGGTTTTAGTTGAATCATGTTGGGCTGTTTTTTGACTTATTTTGTTATCTTTGGGGTTAAGATTAACATTGAAGTCTTCTGCTATAATATTTATATTATTTTCTTTGATTTGAGATTTCCAATAATTAAAGAAGATTATTCTGTTACTAATGTTTGGTAATGTATAGGTATTTGTTATTTTAAAGAAGTATCTTTTAAAAACAAAGTTTGTTGTTATTACTCTTCCTTCATGGCTTATTTGAGTGTTTTTGAATTTAATGTCTTTGCTCTTTGCTAGAATTGCTGTTTTTTAGTTCAGATTGAGTTGTAAATCTATTGTTGTTTAAGAACTTCTTGCATTTTTTCATTATTAAGATTAGTTTTCTGAATTATTATTATGTCTAGTTTGTATGATTTTAAAAGGATTAGTAAATTTTGTTGTTTTCCTTTGTTGTTAAGTCCTTTTATATTTAGTGTTGTTATTTTTAGTTTGGCTTTTTGAGTCATAAATTATATGAGATTGTTAAATCTCTTGAATTGGGAATGGCTTGCTTTTTTATAAATATTCTTGTAAGAAGATGATTTTGTTTCATCTTTCTTAAATGTTCTGTTTTCTTTTTTGGTTTTTCTGTTAATGACTATAATAAAGCTATCTGTTTCTTTATTTTTGTCAGAGAGAGAAGCTGCTTTGGGAATGCGACTTGCAGATGGATGTAGTGTTCTATAGCCTTGGTAGCATTTCTATATCTGATAATAGATCTTCTTGAGTTATCATTTGCATTTGTTCATCTGAGTTGTTATTTGTTATAGCTAATTCTGCTAGAACTAGAAGCTGAAGGTTTTGCTAATGATTAGGATTAGTTTCTTCTAAGGCCATATATATGTCATCTTTAGTATCATTTTGTTCTTGCTAATTAGAGTTCACTAATAGTAAAGGTTCTTCATTGCTTTGTTTAATATTTTCTAGAGTCTCATTTAACTCCTGAAAGTCATTTAAAAGTCTTCTGTTATATTTGTCCTCTTTGTATTGTTGGTAGCTAATTTGTAAATTTACTGAGTTCTTAAATTGTTACCATTTTTTTTTAATATAGCCTTCTTTTTTGCAAATAGAGCACATCATAGGTGCTGATTTTTATTCTGTTGTGATTTTATTGTCTTACATATATGTGAAATGAGGTATTTTGTTTTCTAGATTAGGGTCATCTGAGTTCTTAAAAATTATAATCTATTGGTCCATAAGGTAAGGTGTTCCTTTAATTAGTAGGGGCTTGATTGATACAATTCTGCTAACAAACTCGAAGGCTTCTTTTATAGTATCTGATATTGCTTTTTTGTTATCCAGTGGAACATTTCTAATCTTGACTAGAAAAAATAATTTTCTTAAATCTGTAGGAATAAAGCTGAAAAAGGTTCTGTCAAAAATATTAATACCCTTGATAGCATAATGTTTTAATTTGTCTTTGTTTTCAAATACAATTTTTAAGTGTATATATGTTCCTTTTGTAAAATGTTGTTTTGCTACTATGACATCTTCTTTAAGATTCTTAAATAATAAGATCATAATTTTATTAAAAGAGCTGTGCATGCTTTGAATATCTATCATTAGGACATTTTTATTTTTTGATCTGATTTGGCTTCTGAGCATAAAGGAAAAATAGGTAGACTGTCCTCTTCTTAATTTTGAAAAGAGACTGAACCACTGTTTAGTTAATGTTTCTTTTGGACCATTTTGTCTGTTATTGTCTCTTTGTAAGTTATTGCAGGGGTTAGTTTTATATACTTTGTTTGACAAACTATTACTTTGCAAGTTTTCTGTTATGCCTAGCTTCTTTTCTGTTGTATTTTTAATTTCTCTAAGTTGTCTAATATTACTTGTTTCTTAAACATGTTGTTTGTTATTATGTTTATAGTATTTTTGAACATATTAATTTGTTTACTTTTTGGTCTTGAATAGCTTTTGTTTTTTTTATTTCTAGTTTGACTTGTTTGTCTTAGCTTGTTGAGTTTTCACTAGAGATTTTTTTTAATACCTGCTTTTCTTTTTGTTTATGTTTAGTAGCCTCTTCTATATCAGTTATCAAGTTTAGAGAGCTTGATATGTTTTTTTTGTTTTTCTTTACTTTTTTTCTGCTGTTTGTTAATGTCATTTTTTTTGTTGTTTTTATGCTTTTTGTATATTGTAATTCTATAAAGGATCTTTTTCTTAAAACAAGAACAAAGGTCCTTGTTTTAGTAAATACTTTAGCCAGTTTTGTCTTGTCGTTTGCTCTTATTTTTAATAAAAGAGTTACTCTATTTCAAAACTCATATGTTCAGAAGAGAGTGTATACAGATCTAATAAGCTAATTTCTACTATATACTGTAATAAAAATTAATAATCTTTAATACAATTAGCTTATCTCTAATACAATACTTATATATTTTATGTGATCTTTATAATAATACTATTTTATTATTGAAGCCATTTCTAACATTAATATATACACATATAGATATTATCAATTTCAATATATTCTGAACAAAAAAAAAATTATATGCATAATTAGTTATCTATTATGTATTATTATTTATTAATTGGAAAATTTCTATGCAGTATATATATTAATAATTAAATAAACCAATGTACTTAATATATTACTTTTACTAAATCATTGCTTTTTTTTTTTTTTTTGCTTTTACTAAGGCTAATGTTTATTAGTGGCTATCATCTTTATTGTATATTTTTAATTATATATTAATTGTATAACTTGTACAAAGTGAGTATACAATTAGCTACTTGTATAACTTTTAGTTATCTATTTTAAGTAGTCCACTTGAAGGTTCTACACTAGTTGTCATTTTTATAATCTACTAGGAGATTACCTATTTAAACACTCTGATCTTTTATATTTATACTAGTTGAATAGCTCTGAGGCTTTCATATATCTAAATGCCATCTAATCTGATATGTGACCTCCCTTGTTATATATCTGTTAGGCTATTACATATTTTAAAGTATGTTATCTGATTGTAAGACCCAGTGTGCCTCTCTATTAACTAATATATCCACTTTAATTATAGAATATTAACAGAGCATGCTCTTGCAAAGTTTACCCAAACCTAGTACTGACTTTATAGCATATCTCTAGTACTTATAGTATACCTCTGCTTTGATTATTAGACTCTCAATTCAGATAGCTTGATAGAACTATGACCTGTTCTAGTATATCAAGTCTGACCTAATATTTTTTTTCTCTAGTCCGATTTTTGGTAGCCTGGTTAGTGGTACCCCTCACCTAGAGGTTTTGCCTGCTCGATTTCTTTATATTGATATCTGTTTCCTAGATCTAGCTTTTACAGTAGTACTGTTGAAGATTTGTATTACTTCTTTACTCGGGTCTTTTCAAATGAGCTCTGGTTTTTTTAGTTCTATAGATTTATACAGTCAAAGGATTTATCTTGGGTTTGCATTACTCAGTACCAATTTGCATCCCTCTGTGTAATCAAGATTACACAAATGCCTCTAACCTGCCAGTCATACTGGTGTGACCATAGTTACAGCTATCTTATCATAACTGATTAACAGAATGCCATTGCTGTAATATAAATATTACATAAATGATTATTCAAATTTTGCCATCTGTGGGTTTTAAACTTACAACCTACTACTTGGAGAGTTAACAACCTGACTACTTCACTAGGTTACTACATCTCTGAATTATTGCTTTTCAATGTTGCTTTTTTTTTATTTGTTATACAAAATTTAGTCAACTTGGTAGTTTTACACTTTCAACTATATATGTTTTAAAGATAACTTTGCTAAAACATAGCAACACAATAGTGTAGGATTAACTAAAATTAAATAAATATGTTATAGTATGGTTTGAATATTTTAAGTTTGCTTAGAAGATTCATACATCTTTCATAGCAAAATAAGTTATATGAACTTTCTAAAAAAGTATTGTAAAACAATATAAAAAAGTCTTTTATTAATTGTGTAACTGATTTATGAATAATAAGATGTTTACTTCTGCTCCTTTAAGTTAAATATGCATTATATCTAATTTATATTTAAAAATCTACTAATTGTATTTATCCCTTAGATTGTAGGCTAATATAGGCAAATTTGTCTGTGTTTTTGCATTTTTTTAGCTCTGATCTACTTTTTTAAATTGTTAAAATATATAAATAAAATTTGGTATAATAA